GAGAGATATTACAGCGTTTGTTTAGCGCGATTGTTGAAGTTAAGTGTATCGGTAAAGTTATATTCGGAAAGAATAAACCAGTTTTTATTAAGAAAGAACTTGTGTCGCTTAAGTTTCGTCGGAACGAAGTTACGGAAAATTAATTAACACACGGAGACGTAACAATATGATGGAAGCATTTAGTGCGCAACATTTTGAATGGCCCGCCGCAAGAATTCGCGAATCTTTGCGCATGGGGTGATAGGTAAATTTACACAAACCGCAAATGAAGAATTAATATTTCACATTTTTTTGCCTTCTTTAAAATTATAAATTTAGTACCTTTTTCTAAAATTACTATTAAATCTTTATTTTGAATAATTCCTAAATTACCTATAACAATGTGATTATGAAAATAATCAATTAAATTAATCTTGGTACAGTTACGAGGTATATTATCAATTTTTTCGGGATCCAGAACTTGAATAAGTTTCTGTAATGAAAGATAAAGGAGAGGTCCTATTGGTTTATTATATATATAGCTATAGACTGTGACAACTTAATAACGAATATCTCATCTTGAACACTTTTATGAATTATAAGTGTTAAAAGTTGATCATCATATATGTTAACTTTATAATCTATCACTATATAAGAATTTACTTTTATATCCTTTACCGAACTATTATTTATTGGAAAATTATTACATTTTAATCAGGATTTAATTAATTCAAAATTTAAAATACATTTTGATAAGTATTTAATTTTTGTATCATTAAATTCAAATAATTTTTATCACATTTCAAAATATTTGTAGATCTATCAAAATAATTGCTTGTTTTTTTTTTAAGTTAAGCACCAAGCTACACAATGGGCTAGCCGTGCTCTGCCCACCACGGGTATCGAAAGCCGGTTTCTAGCGTTGCAAGTCCGCAGATATACCGCTGTGCCACGAGGGGTCTATCAAAAGAAATCACTATAAGTTCTCACAAAGATTGTAGAAATTAACCCAATATATTGTTGCGTCATCGAGGTCACGTGACTGGTGTGGCGCCCTCTATTTTT